TTTGAGGCTTGTTTTTTAGTCTTTGATATGGCAGTTTTAGAATCTCCTTTCTTTAGGACTAATTCAGCCTTCTACTAAGATAATATCCTACTAAGAACTTTATCTGATGATTCATTTATTATAAGGTCTTTCTGTTCTGACTGATGGGCAAACGTATTTGCAGCCTTGTGTGTACTTCAGGAATTGTTCAGCCTACTGCTTTTTCTGTCCTTGTGTAATTTTTTTTCCTCCTGTATGCATGGATAAATAGTAAAAGACATGAATGAATCTGTCTGAAATTCTGCCCAGTAGTCTCTCTTTCTAAGCAGTTTCCTCTGCTGTCATTCTCTGCTTCCAAATCCAGCCACCTTGGATTATTCAAATTCTGATCTCTGTCTCATCACCTCAGCAGGATCTTTATTCTTTGTTTGGGTTCTTCCTTCCTGCTGGGCCTTAAACTGTCTCCACGCAGTAAGCTAGGGCATCAAGGGGTTTATGTCATTAATTTTTTTTCTCTCAGTTCTGGCTACCTGTTGTCCAACCTCTGAAAACTGTTCTTTTACATGTGTCTTCCTGCTTTCCAGTTGTTAAAGGAAAGTGAAAATAATTTGGTTCCTCTTATTCTATTTTAGTGAGAAGTAGAATTTTGGTAGTGTTTTAAATACTCATTTAGCTAATACAGTTTTTAAAAATAAAGATGCCAAATGGTACTTTCTTTATGGTGGTGAAATAGACATAATGTAAATCTTATCATTTTAACTGCTGTTAAATATATAATTCAGTAGCATAAAGCATTCACATTGTTGTACAGTCATCACCACCATCCATCTCCTGAACTCTTTGCACCTTGCAAAACTGAAACCCTATACCTATTAAACAATAACTCCCTATTCCTCTCTCTGCCCAGCCCTTAGCAACCACCATTCTATTTTCTGTCTCTATAAGTTTGACGACTTTAGCAATCTCATAAATGTGCAGTCATATAATATTTGTCCTTCTGTGTCATCTTATTTCACTTTGCATAATATCTTCAAGGTACATCAGTTTTGTGTAAGAATGTCTTTCTTCAAGGAAAGATTTATTACAAAGAATTGACTCACACTGTTATGGAGTCTGAGAAGACTCAAGTTCTGTAATCAGCAAGCTGGAGACCCAGGAGAGCTGATAGTAAAGTTCAAGTCAGGAAAACTGATGGTGTGAGTTTCAGTCTAAATCTGAAGGCAGAAGACTGATTTCCCAGCTTGAAGATATTGGCAGAGAGAGTGACTTCTTTACTCAGCATTGTTGCTCTATATACACTTTGATCCAGTTGCATGAGGCCTACACAAATTGGGGAAGGAATCTGCTTTACTAAGTCTACCCATTCAAATGTTAATCCCATCCAGAAACATCCTTACAGTCACACCCAGAATAATATTTAATCAAATATCTGGTTACCTTATTTCTCATTCTCACATAAAATTAGCCATCATACCATTCACCCATTTATGTACACTTGGGATACTTCCACCTTTTGGCTATTGTGAATAATGCTCCTATGAACATTATTGTACAAGTATATGTGTATGAGTCCCTACTTCCTTTTGGGCATGAAATGGTATTTTTATATAGTTGTTTTATATGCTTAGTTGAGGTTTAGAATTCTAGTTACTGGATCACCTTAATCACTAGAGCCATGCTTTAAAAAAAAAAACAGTCATGTCACATCTGATGCATATTTAGGTTATATGGATTCAAATCTATTATATTTTATAGGTGATCAAAGAAATTTTCAATGGAAATCTTTCATCATACTCGATTTTTGTATAGTCTACCTTTGGAACCCAGTCTCAGGGTAAAACACAACTTTACAGTATTGCTTTTCTTTTACAAAGCAGAAAAAAAATTTCTGACAGTTCTTTTCTATATGTCTTATCAATGCTAAGGAAATAAAAAAATCTATTTCAGGTTCTCTAGTTGACAGGAAAAATTGAGAAACGTCTTTTTACTTAGTTGTTCATTTTATCATTCAAAGGAATGTTTTGAGCAAAGCCAAAGCACATTTTAGTATTCATAACTGTTTATTCTATATAATGGGAAAAAAGGGGAGCTAGAATATTATAGCATATAGAATCGGTATGTGATTTTGAAAGAGCACTGAGTTCTGTTTTGAGAGATATGTTTATTTTATTAATCCCATCTACTACTAAGCTATGACTTTAGACAAGCCATTTTACCTGAGTTCATTTTCTTGTCTGAAAGTCAGTGATGATGATAGTACTTGTTACTGTTTCACAGGATTGTGATGATCAAATGAAATAATGTATATGAAGTGCTCTGAAATCTTTAAAATGATATATAGATGTTAAGGCTGCATTTTATGGACTAAGCTGATAGGTACAGAAAAGAGCTATTAGAAGCAACATGTGCTCATGTATGAACAGTTTCTATGTCTGATTAAAAACATTTGTAAGTTTTGACTTGTAGATGACTGTGAAGTAAAGAAATCTCATTTTGCCCCAGAACCTCAATTCACTGGAAGAAGTAAAGTGAGAATATTCTAGCCACTGCAAGTCAATTTTTGATATTAAAACCGTTCTATCTTTATTTTGAAAAGATTCATAAGGTGGTAAGAACTTTACTAATGAGAAGAATTGTCAGCATATGTCCCTTTTTAAGGCCAGTATATGTGACATTTTCGTCTTACTAGAGTTTACAAACATTTTTTATATCGAGGATAGTGTATTTTTATGTGAGTTGAATTTGATATAAGAGTTTTCAAAGAGTGCTAAACAGTGATTCTTTTAATGAAGCTTTTGATGGCTTGTTTTTGTGTTCTACAGAGAGAGGTTAGTGACTGGAGGTACACAAAAATACTTTTTTTCTCTAGCATATTTTGATGATGTTCTATACAGAAGGATTTGTTATATTTCTGTGAGAGACAGAAATAAAGTGTTATTTCTGAGATACTTCTTTTGTAGGAAAGGGACTGGTTTGCTTCAAAACATATTGTAAGAGCTTTTGTCTTCAAGAACTTAAGTTAGAATGAAGAAGCTAAAAACCTAACCTTTATTTCTTGATTAGACAAAAGTGATTTCACGTCTGTTTGGAAATGAGTAAATTTGAAGTCTGAAGTTTTTTGTGTGATTTTAGAAATGACTCTTTGATGACAGATAGTGAGAACTTTTGCCTCATCCTACAATATGAACCTAAAAGATATTAAATGCTTGTTGACAGACTGATTCTAGGGCTGATACAGGAAAGATACAAAATGAGGATGAAGCATCTTTTAATTGTAGAAAGTAAGGAAGTACACAAAAAGCAAAAGGATAAGAGCATGTCAAAAGGACACAGGAGGTATCTGAAAGAGCTTACAGTAGTCATGGCTGGAACAATATGAGGAGCAAAATAAATAATGTAGTATTGGATTATAACCTAAAGTATACAATAAGTGTCCACAAGTCCATGCTGATATAAATGTTATTGAATAATTGTGTAAATGAATGAAGAGAGATCAATCTTCCATACAGAATAATTACTATAATATATTTAGATGTTTTTTGCTATAGGAGGTAGAGCATAATTCCTCCTCTTTCCTTGAGGGCAGGCCAAACATAGTCACCTCCAAAGAATAGATTATGGAGAGGGAAAAACAGTAACTTTATAGTGGAGGAGCCTGGAATATAGTACCTTAATCAAGTAATGAAGGTTAGCATCATTGGTGATGTCCTGTTGATAATCATGTTTCCCTTGCCATGATCTGTTGAGAATGGCAGTTGATCTCAGTGATATTCTTTCCAGAAATCATAACCCTAATCTAACCATAAGGAGAAACATTAGATGAACCCAAATTGAGGGTCATTCTGTAAAATACCTGCCACATAGTCCTCAAAACTGTCAAGATCATGGAAAAGAAGGGAAGACTGAGAATTGTCACAGACCACAGAGATTGGGGAGAGATAATAATTACATGTAATATGGTGTCCTGAATGGAATCCTGGAAGAGAAAATGAACATTAATGGAAAAACTGATGAAATATGAATAATGCTTGGGCTTTAGTTAGTAGTAATATACAAATATTGGTTTATTCATTTTGGTAAATGTACCATGATGTTATAAAATATTACTAATAGGGGAAAGTGAGTAAAGGGTATAATACACTCTTCACACTGTCTTTCACATTTTCCGTCAATCTAAAATTACTGCAAAACTTGGTCACGCGTGGTGGCTCATGACTATAATCCCAGCACTTTGGGAGGCTGAGGCCGGCAGGTCACTTGAGTCCAGGAGTTTGAGACCAGCCTGGGTAACATGGTGAAACCCTGTCTTTATGAAAAAGTACCAAATATAACCTGTCATGGGGGCACCCACCTGTAGTTCCAGCTACTCAGAAGACTGAGGTGGGAGGATCATTTGGGTCTGGGAGGCAGAGCCAAGATTGTACCACTGCATTCCAGCCTAGGTGAGGGAGTGAGACTTCATCTCCAAAAAAAAAAAAAAGAAAAAATTCTTGTTGGTTGGTTGCATGGAGTCAGAATCAAATGATATGAAGAAAAGAAACTATGTAAACTAATTTTTGCTAGTTAACATGTTTTATTTTAACAATTTTCCCCCTAAAAATGGAATAATATGTTATATTCATACTACATATTTATAATTTTCTTCATTCATAACAGTCATTTCAGTTATATATAAATTTGATGACTTTTCAAAAGCCATATTAATGTCTGAAACTTTAAAATGAGATTACTAAGGTACAAATTAATAGCTGTCTGTTTTGAAGGGAAGAAGTTAATAGTTTAATATAATGATGTGTAGAGTCTGAGTTGTGGTTGTTTTTAGAATTATAATTTTGAAAGTGCTTACATTAATGTTGTGCTTGATCATAATATAGTATTTTGGAATTTCAATTTAGTAGCTTTATCAGTTAAAGCAACACATAAAAATTAATAGAACAAAAGAATACTTTAAATTAAAATGTGATCTTTGTTACAAACTATGAAAATGAATGTAAGTAAATTTCATATTATTTCTTTTCTAGATTTATTATCAAGGATAGATTTGGATGAACTAATGAAAAAAGATGAACCACCTCTTGATTTTCCTGATACCCTGGAAGGATTTGAATATGCTTTTAATGAGAGTAAGTGGTATATCTACATATAATATATGCAAAATTTATTTGACAATGCTCATAGAATAATAAGACAGATATTATTTGCTACTTTTAAAGGCCAAGTAGAATGTTTTCTCTTTTGAGAAGTAAGGACTTATCCTTGCATGGTGAAATTTTTCATTCAAGTGAAAGAATCAAGTAACAATTTCCTGTAATTGTCAAGTTATGTAAACTAATGGTCATGAATTTGATTCAGCTTATGCATTAGAACCTTGAGGGTTCAGCTCCCAGGTTGATATGCATAAGGATAAGAGCAATTTGAACTCCTAATTAAATTATAGAGAAAGTTGCTATTGTTTCACATGTTACTTAAAGTATCTGGCAATAATTATCTGTAACAATGTTTTAAAGTAGTTTTCCATGAGTTTTCAGGCAACATCCTTGTTTTAAAATTTATTAATTCAGTTCTGAATAAAATAACCTTTACACTTGGGATGTGGAGGAACATACTATACATTGCAAGGATATTTCTGGAATAGAGAATCATGATTCATTGGATTAATAATACGCTGTTACACTTGAAGGGTAATGTTATTACAGGGTAGGTGCATTTGAGTTGTAGTTTTGATTGGTTGTTCTGCATTAACTAAATTGATGCTTTGTCATCGTTGTATTAGTGGATATTCCTTTCCAATATTAGTTACAGATAATAAGACCTATGGTGGCAGTCATTATGTACTAAAATGTTTAGTTTAAAATAAAAGACTAGAAACTTTGTTCTTTTCTCTGATATTAATTTTTATAGTTTTTAGTAAAAGTTATTTTGTGCCAACAGAAGTAGTAATATTTGTTGCTTGGAGGGGAAGAGTAGTTTAAGCAGTTGGCCTGTAGTGTGTTTTTCTTCTAATTATTCTGGGAATACCCCTGGGGAAAAAATCCTGTCCAGGGGCTGAGTGGCTTGGTCTTTTCTCCTTCTTTATAAACATGCTGTTAATTAACTCACTTAATAAATTAGACTGTCTGGACACGATGGCTCATGTCTGCAATCCTAGCACTTTGGGAAGCAGAGGTGGGTAGATCATTTGAGGTCAGGAATTCAAGACCAGCCTGGACAACATAGTGAAACCTCATCTCTACTAAAAAATTAAAAAATTTAGCTGGGCATAGTGGCATGTGCCTGTGGTCCCAGCTACTCGGGAGTCTGAGGCTTGATAATCACATGAACCTGGGAGGCGGAGGCTGTAGTGAGCCGAGATTGGGTCACTCTACTCCAGCCTGGGTGACAGAGCAAGACTCCATCTAAATAAAAATAAAAATAAATATAGACTAATATTTGCTGTGAGGATTCTTTTTCTATAGAATACTTTGAGCAGGATGACTGGTTTTAGATATGAGAAATGTTTCTCTGAGGAATATCACATAAGCAAGACAACTCTTATGCACATAAAATGGAAATATTTTATAACCCAAATGCTCGCCAGGGTGTGAGGTTACCTGTATGCATCACATAGAGACCTCATCTACTTTGAGCCAGAGAGTGGTATACACTGAGAGGAAAGGACCTGGGGCAAATGACTGGATGCTGCAGACCTCTCCCTGCCTTGCGTGTGCTGATTGATTCCTTCTACCCTTGAAATTATTAGTAAAGCTTAGTCATTATCGGTAAAGATCTTCACTTCATGTGAGTCTGATTTGATAGTCTGAGCCTGTGTTAGCTCACTGCTTGTCTCTAATTTTCACTTGACATCTTATCCATATTTGAAGACCTACTTGAGAAATCTCACTGAAACCTTCTGAACCTCTTCTAGCCCACAGAGAGTTTTTATATTTCAAGAATGATTCTAGACTTCATTGTCTACATGAATGCCTGTTGACGAATTTCAATCTTGTTTGTTTAGCTTCCTGAAAAGTTGTTTACGTTCTTAATATTTATGCCTTTACTTCTTAGGTAACATCTAAGCTTCTTGAGGATGGGGGCCATGTTCATAGCAATAGCTAGCAGAAGTCTTGGTACATATTAGGCCTTAAAATATTGTTTGTTTACTTTAGATTAGAGAGATGAAGGTCAAGAAGAATAACTTTTGAGTACTTGGGGACCATTCTTAATCTGTATGTTTGCATCATACTGATACCTGAAGAAAAAAATCGAATGAAAAAGATAAACTGTTGTGTGAAAGTTATTTTAATTTTTTATCAGACGATCTTTGCTGTATGTCTATATTATTGTAAATATACTTTGAAGTATAGCAGTGTTGTTTGTTTATCTTCTCAGAGGGACAGTTAAGACACATAAAAACTGGGGAACCATTTGTTTTTAACTACCGGGAAGATTTGCACAGATGGAACCAGAAAAGATACGAGGCTCTAGGAGAGGTATGTCACATACACTACTTTAATTTGTTTTTCCCAATTTCAAATATTCAGAGTAAAAGTTTTGAAGATGCAGCAGTTTATGCATTCTTTCTACAAAATGTGATTCAAAAAAGGTTTTTGCTTTTTTTGTTGTTTATTTTTAGTGATTATGTTAGAAACATATTCTCAATTTAAAAGTTTCTGTTTTTAGGCCAGCTGTGGTGGCTCACACCTATAACCCCGACACTTTGGGAGGTCAAGGTAGGAGAATCACTTGAGACCAGCAGTTGGAGATGGAGTGAGACCAGTCTGGATATCATAGTGAGATCATATCTCTACAAAGGATAAAAATTAGCCAGAAGTAGTGATGTGTGCCTGTAGTCCTAGTTACTTGGGAGGCTGAGGTGGGAGGATCACTTGAGCCCAGGAAGTCAAGGCTGCAGGGAGCTGTAATCACAGTGCTGTACTCTAGCCTTGCTGACAGAGTTAGACCCTGTCCCCAAAAAGAAAAACCTTCTTTTTTACACAAACATATACTTCCCATGACTGTAATATTTTGTATTGAGTCATTACATAAGAAAACACATTTATGCAAAATTCTAATTTGATTTTTTAAATTTTGTTTGGTTTTTGAGACAGGGTCTCACTCTGTCACTCAGGCTGGAGTGCAGTGGCATGATCTCATCTTACTGCCTCCCAGGTTCAAGTGTCTTGTGCTTCAATCTCTGAGTCGCTGGGACTACAGGCACGCACCACCAAAACCACCTAATTTATTTTCTGTATTTTTATAAGAGACGGGGTTTTTTGGCCAGGCTGGTCTTGAACTCCTGACCTCAAGTGATCCCTCCCAAAGTGCTGGGATTACCAGTGTGAGCTACCCTGAGGAGCCTAAAAATGTTTTTAAAGGTTGAATCCCCTACTGTGCCAGAATGAATAAGTGTTCTTTCAGGTGTTTATTTGTGTGAAGAATATTGACATTTGGCTAATAGGTTGAATTTAACCTACTTATATATGACTGGATAAAGGAGTAGGCCTTGTGAACATTAGGTACTTCATATGGTACTGCTTATAAGAAACCTTTGAAAATGTCATTTGCCATTTAGATGAATAGTTTGGTAAAGTGAAAAGTTTTACTCATTCTGTGTCATATTAAGTGGCATTTTTTAATAAAAATGTAGATGGATACATAAGTTTAGTGTAATAATTACATTAGTTTTCTAAGGAAAAACTGAACTTTCTGTATTTTTTTGTTTTTGAGTGCTAAAAATGAATTACTTGGTTAAATTATCACATAAAGAATATATGGTAACGTAAGTATAATAGCATGAAGAATATATCATTTTCTGGGAGATCGTTCTTGGATCTTCTGCATTTCCATATGTCTCTGAGCAAAGGCTTTGACAGCTTTTGCTCTGGATCATCTTTTCAAGGACAACTGTATAGGAAACAGGCTTAAAAAACTGAGGTGTGTCACCCTCCAAGGCAGTGGGCAGATTTGTTTGTTGTCCAGGATAAAAAGATAATTCCCCTCTGTTTCCCCACTGACAGCAAAAGATTGCTAGGAGTCCCTTTAGAAGACTTTTGATAAATATACCATGATTAAGGCTTTTGCGATTTAAAAGTATTTGATAAAAATAGACTATACATGGCGTAATTTATTGGAAGATATTAATAGTTATGTTACAGGGCAGGTGTCCTGTTTCAGACCCCAAGAAAGGGTTCTTGGATCTCACATAAGAAAAAATTCAGGGCAAGTTCATAAAGAACAAACAAGTTTATTAAGAAAGTAAAGGAATAAAAGAATAGCTACTCCATAGATAGAGCAGCCCCGAGGGCTGCTGGTTGCCCATTTTTATGTTTATTTCTTTATGATATGCTAAACAAGGGGTGGATTATTCATGCCTCTCTTTTTAACTATATAACCCTATAGGGTAACTTCCTTTTTTTTTTTTTTTTTTTGGACATGGAGTCTTGGTCTGTTGTCCAGGCTGGAGTGCAGTGGCATGATCTCAGCTCACTGCAACCTTCACCTCCTGGATTCAAGCAATTCTTTTGCCTCAGCCTCCCAAGTAGCTGGGATTACAGGTGAGTGCCACCACACCCAGCTAATTTTTGTATTTTCTGGTAGAGACATGCTTTCCCCATGTTGGCTAGGCTGGTCTCCAACTCTTGACCTCGGGTGATCCACCTGCCTTGGCCTCCCATATGTAGGGTACCTTCCCGACATTGCCATGGCATTGGTAAACTGTCATGGTGCTTGGGGCGAGTGTAGCCATGAGGGCAACCATAGGTCACTCTCATGGCCATCTGTTTTGGTTGGTTTTGGCTGGCTTCTTTAACGCAAACAGTTTTATCGCAAGGTCTTTATGACCTGTATCTTGTGCCAACCTCCAATCTTATCCTGTGACTTAGAATGCCTTATTTGTCTAAGAATGTATCCCAGTAGGTCTTAGCCTCATTTTACCCAGCTCCTATTAAAGATGGAGTTGTTTTGGTTCAAACATCTCTGACGTTTCTACCCTCCCTTTTATAAGAGATCCCTTAATCCTAATGGTTGCAGAGGGACGAAGATCCATCTTCTATAACTTTCTTCAGGCTGAATAGGGGTGATGATATTACTGCCTAACTATGAGGTTCTCTGTATTCAGTGTAGAGAGTATTTGGAATAGAGAGGAGCTGTCAGAAAGCATTGGTACGGGTCATTCATGACTCTTGAGGTGATATCTGGAAGATTAATAAGTGTTCAATTTAGGAAAATGTTGAGTAAGCTTATTTTGCATTCCTACACAAAGAGTACAACAGCAATATATTCCACAACAGTAAAGCAAAATCAGTAAAATTATCCCAAGTAACTAAATTAGAAGGTGTTACATGAACTGGGCAACTGTTGGAACCAAGCTGAGAGGGGGTTGCTAGTCAATTCCAATATACGCCCAGAATTAGAATACTGATCCAGATTTTTATGCTACTCAACCCTCTTGTTTCTTCTGAGCAGTAGTCAGAGATGACTGGTTCTTTCACAGGAATAAATAGGGTGAGCCAAAATTGCAGAAGCAAACTTAAAAGCAACTAATAAGACTAGAAATTAATAATGAGTGTCCCATAGTTCTTGAAACATAATTTCTCTCTCCAGTTTCACATTTTTACTAAAGACAAATCATGGTGAGACCAATTTGCTTTAGTATACTTGGTCTGATTATTTGTATAAAGTGCAGCAAGAACAATTATTTTTCACTTAGGCTTTTAAAATTGACTTTGATGGAACTCTGTTCCATAGGGAATTTCAGATAAGACTTTTTTAAAGCCAAGCCCAGCCATGGATTTAAATCCTTAAATAACTATGAGTTGGGTAAATTACTCTTTGAGGTCCCAAGATAACTTGGGTCTCCTGAACCTGTTAGGAAGTGACATTGTTTATTTGCCACAGGTCAGAAACCCTGTACAGGGACTGTGTAGGCAATGAATGAGGCCAGTTCTGCAAGCAGTGTTTATTGGCTCTACAAGTTAAATTTGATTCCTTAAAGGAAAGCGTGCTGTTCCAGTCACAGACTTGGTAAAATAACCAGTTTTTCCAATTGTGTCCTGGGCAAAAGATTTTTACTGCACTTATGCAAATAACTATGTTGCTTAAGTTAAGAATACTCACAACTAGTTTCCAAATTTTGGAGAAATTAGGTAGAGAAACAACTGTGCTCCAAGTTTTATTCACAGGAGTATATTTTACTCAATTGCTAAAAGCTGTAAATAGCTCAAAAGAAAAGTTTTCTTGACTGGAAAACAAAACAAAGGATCATCACTGTTTCAAGCAAAGTTAAAGATTGCTTTAGTTTTCTATTGGTTCAGTCTATTCAGGTAACTCATGTTCTGCTTGATATTCAGGAACACCTTAGGTCTCCATGAACGTCCTGAAAGATTTTTTCCTCTATTCTGATATCACAACATCTGTTAGAGTCCTGTAGTTAACCACTTTCTAAAGCGGATTAAAACAAGACAACAGTTGTCTGTGGGTGACAAAATATTTTAGCTCAGCCACCGTCAGAAACACAATTGACAAAGAAATTTGATAACCTCTGTGGCATACAGTGATTTTATGTAACAATTTTAATTATTACTGATGTCCTATACTGAGGCATATCAGAATTACAAGAATCTTAACACAGTTTTGTGATACTTATTAATAACAAGTTTATAGAAATGTAACCCAAAGGAAAAGTTAAATACCACTTCACATTTGTTAATAATTCCTGTATGACTTTTATACCAAATAAGCCAAATTTTACCTTTGAAATACTGTACTATTAATGTTATATCCAATTCTTAAGAAAGCCTTATAGACATATCTACCCAATTTTAATGTTTGACCGTAAGGTAAGATTCTCATAAACTTTTTATAACCTTTTACAAATTTTTGTTAAAAGCAGATTTTTTGTTAAAGAGATCAGTGCTCTAGGAAAAGCCTGTTGTGCTTTTATTCCAATGTGCAGTTTACAGAAAACCCGAATAATACCCCTTTGTTCACACACAGATTTTTTTACAAACCTTCCACAACTTGCTTAAACCTTCAATTTTGTTCCATCTAACTTAAAACAGTCCATTGTATCTTTATTCTAGGCAGGAAATTCACATTCCCATGCCTTATAATCTTTTATCAAAAACAGATTTTACTCTCTTTACGCCTTGCGTGTAGAACTGTTTCTTCCATAGTCTCAATTACATGTTACACTGTTAACTCTAAGTAACTTTTATTTTTGGTGAAAAACCTTGGTAAGTTCAGGCTTTTAATTATGTAATAGGTGTGGAGACTAGCCTAGGACACACCAGGCAAAGTGCATATAAGGGCTGACTCCTTCCAACATAGCTAGGGGATGTGGCTAATTCCACATGTCCCAGGCTTATCTAGGATCCAATGCTTCAAACAGGTAAATTGAATAATTTTTAATAGTCAAAGAAGCGGTTTATGATCTTAAAGTATTTAGGGAACTTAATATCTGACCTATGTAATTTAGACCAAATGTTTACAT